TAAAAAAAAAAAAAAAGGTTCTCTCAAACTTCCCAGTCTCTAAAGCCACCTGAAATGTCACACCAGAGTCCTTTCTCTGGCTACCTTAGTTAAATATATAAGGAACAACAGCTTCTCTCTCTCCAATTAGTCCACAGAGCCTGAGCCAGGGCTTTGTGCTCACCGCTTAACACTGACAGAAGAAAAGGGGTAAGAGCCTAAGGCGTGTGGTGATACAGTACTATATTGCATGCAATTCTGATGGTAATGACCTGGATTTGTGTATACACTGCAGGTTTAAGGGCATGATCTCCAACATGCCTTCCCTCACTTCAGATTCCAGTGGCATCTCTGGGGGTCCCCATGTCACTGCACTTCTGACCAACTGGCTATAATTTCAAGGATTCCTGCAACCCTCTGGTTGAATAATTTGCTAGAGATACCGAGAACTCAGAAGAAAACTATACTTATTAGTCTTATTACAGAGAATATAAATCAGGAACTGGGAATGTGCTCAGCGCTAGAGTGTGTGTTCAGCATGCATAAGCCCCAAAGTTTGATCTCCAGCACTGGAAGAAAAAAAACAGGTCCAGGCAAACAAAAAGAAAGCAAATTCCGCAAAGGTTCAAAACAGAGATCTATGCACTTTGCCCATGGAAGCAGGACATATCACCTTCCCAGCATGTTCTTGTGTTGCTCAGGAAGCAGGGTTTCATCACTTAGCCACAACTGATTGAAATCAAGGGCTGCAAGGTTGAATTGAATGTCTATTCCCACCCCCAGGAGATCACCCAGGTAAAAGTTCCAACCCTCTAAACTGGTCTTTCTAGCATTGTCAACCTCCATTCTGAATCAATCCTAGCATAAACGTGGGTGTGGTCTGAGATCAAATCTCAATATAATTTTTTTTTTTTTTTTGGTTTTTTTGAGACAGGGTCTCACTATGTAGTTCAGACTGACCTGGAACTCACGTGTAGCCCAGGCTGGTCTCGAATTCACAGTGATCCTCCTGCCTCAGCCTCCTGAGTGCTGGGATCAGCCACCAGGCCCAGCCTCAATATAAATTTAAGTGTGGTCTAAGATCAAATTTCAACATAAATTCAGGTGTGGTTTGAGGGACCTACCATGAATAACAAACCTTCTGTTGCTTGGGAAACTCCACGGATTTAAGGGTCTCCTCTCTCAGTAACTGAGGACAAAGGCAGATCAAACTCTTTTACAATGAGGTCAGGAAGGTTTTTACTAAAAATTATATTAATTTTTTGAGACAGTTGGAAATGATCTATGTTCCAGGAAACACAGAGTGCTCCTTATGATGATAGTCTCAAGAGCTACTCTGTTCCCAACTTGATTCTCTTTCCCAGCCCTTACCAAAGGGCCATCCAACCAGCCATTCAGCAAGCAAACAAGGGAGACACTATGGGTTTTCATAGTCATGTTTCCATCTCTGGCAGGGCAAGAATTTGCCCCTTTACCCAGGCCATAGGTAGAGGCCCAGACTTCCCCCAGCAAAGTCTTCCAAGCAGAAAGGGACTTCTCTTGTAGTGCAGTGACTCCCATCCAGGTTCCCATCCACCCTGCTGCCTGTTCTGCATGGTGCCCAAGTGTCAGATAAACCAATAGGCAGGTCCGTACCAGAGACTCTGTGGCTTTGGTAAGGAAATTAGTGTTACATCCCTCTTCCAGATGTCCAAAAGAACCTCTTCACATCATGAAGAGGTACCAGCAGGAAATACCTAAAAAGTCATGTCCCATCCATGATGTTCAGCAGGGGGCAAAAAAGTACTGACACAAGAGAGTTTAGGAGCTTTTAATGCTTAGAATGAAATATTACAGGTTGGATTTTTCATAGTTATTGGTCCATCTCACACAGACCACAAGTGGAGGCCCAAACTCCACCCAGAAAAGTGTTCAGAGTGGAGAGGGGCTTTCTTTGTAGTGCAGTGACTTTTCACCCCAGAGGCCAGAAAGCAAGAAGAGTATGTAGTGAGCACCAAGTGCTGGGCTTCTGCAAGATCCTCTAAAGTGTGAACTCAGTTCATTCTCACACAAACTCCATGAGAGAGGCATCCTCATCTTACAGATGAAGATCCTGAGACTTAGACTAATCAATTTGTCTATCAAAGAGTTCACAAGTCTCATAAAAAATATATATATACATAGACATACATAGATATACATACACATACACACATACATATATATGTATGTATGTATGTATGTATATATATATATATATAGAGAGAGAGAGAGAGAGAGATAGATATGTACAACAAAGTCCACAAGTCTCAAGCTAAGAAGAAAATGAAAATTCAGGTCTTCTGATTTTTTCCTACTCTGCCACACTGAATTTGATCCAACCTCAGCCTCCCATACGAAGATCACGATTAAGCTTATATCCCAGGCTGTGCCCTGGTCCCTGTTAGGAGAAGGATCAGCTGAAGGAAGCTATTCTGCAAGACTGAGGAGAGATCCTAGGGATCTTTCCTCTGGTTGGGAATAGGGAAGGGTGGCAGAGAGTGGAAACAAAGGAGGCTGGTAAGTGCACACTGTATGTGTGTGTGGAAATACCACACTGAACCCCATTCATGTGTACACTTAATAAAGGTTAATAAAAATGTAAGATAAAAAAATCTTCCCTCTGAAACAGCAAACATGACCTCAGAAGTGTCCGTCCAGGACATTCTCAGCTGCACAGAGCCTCACAAGGAAACAACGAGGCAGAGCAGTCTGCAGAAAGCCCACCTGTGCTGATTCTCTGTGGAGTCAAGACACTGTAACACAAAAGGGCCGATGCCCAAAGAAGGTGCAGGAAGCAGGAGGGCAAACAAGAACAGTGTCAACTATTTACCCAGGCAATCAGACACTGCCTTGGGAGATCAGGTCAGAAGACACAAACAAAAGAATGTGTTCGCTGGCATCAGAGAGCCCAGGAAGACCTTGCTGGTCAAGTGCAGATGTGCAGTCATTTGCTTGTGCAAGGGTGACCTGGGGTCCTTGAATGAGCCCTGTGCCAGACCCCAGGCCTTTCATTTTGTCAGCAGAGGCAGCAACCCCAACTCACCGAGTCTTTCCTTGGCCACCGCCTCCCATCCCTTGTTGGCCTGTGGGTTTCGGGGAGAGGGATGCAAGAGCCCCTCCACCTGGACCTCTGGGGTCAGGCCGGCCAGAGCCCTTCTCGCTCGCTTCTCCGCCAGTCGCCCCACCCCCACCACTAGCCGCACCCCCAGCAGCTGCACCTGCCGGCAGAGGGCTGCATCGCAGATCCCCAGAAGCTGTTCTCGCTGCTTAGCAGGCAGCTCAGCAGGGGTCAGATTGCGGCCGCTGGGAGCCAGGAAGAGCAGAGGACAAAGATTGTGGACAAAGCAGTGCTGGAAGAAGACCTCCGGCTGTCCACAGAGGTTCCGGAAAAAGCCCCAGAATCGGGCACCGCTCACCTCTGACTGCGGGCACTCTAGTCCCAGCACCGGTCGCTTAGGGTGCTCTTGGGCAGGGGTCAGCACAGGCCCCCCAATGCCCAGCCAGTCTCGGACCGCGCTCACTTCCCCAAAGGGCACCTGTGGGGAAGGAGAGAGACAAGGACTAACCCCCTTCCTCCTTCCCTGAGGGTGCAGGGTGGCCGTCCCCAGCCCCATCCTACTCAAAGGTCTGAGAGAGTCCACACCGTGGCCTATGGTCCAGAAGAATCTATTTGTTGGCCTCTACCCTCACTAGGTTTGGGACCAGGTACAGGGAGTATATTGGGACATCTGACCCTACAGAATGCCTGATGGTTAGTAATGGGGACCCAGGTGGCCTGAGATAGAATGACAGCCAGGATTAAAGGAAGCACGAGGACAGGCTGACCACTGCTCTCTGGGTGCCCTCTCAGCCCCAAGCCTCAGGTTGTCATTTCCATTGATCATCATTGATCACCTTTCATCACCCAGTTGGGGTCAATAAAAGCGATTGAACCTCCTGCCCTGAGGCCTCTTTCCCTCCCCCACCTGCCAAGCACCCCCATGAGGGGCAGTCACTCATCCTGAGCTCCAAAAGGAAAGCAGGCAGGCCCTGGAGCCTGGCTCTGCCCGGAACCTCTCTTCAGCTGAGAAACAGAACCCAGGTTACCAGAATGCCCTGTAACTCTTATTACCCACCCCACTGCTGGTCTTCCCTGAGGACACAGTAGTCGCTGTCCCTCTCCTGACCCAAGCCATACAGCAGGGACATGGGAGAGCCGGATGGGGGGACTGCGGAAGGAAGGGCTCTCAGAGGCAATTAGCACAAAGCCCACAGGGGAAACGAAACTACCATTAATGTGCTCGGTTAACAATGTGCAGAGAGGCCCAGAGTGTCTGAGACCACAGGAGCCAGTGTGGGGATTGAGGGAGGGCACACAGGTCCACAGCCACACACATGCTCCTCCTCCCCACACACCTAGCCCCTCCCACTCCACCCACCAGGGGAAGCCAGGCCCTTTACCCCAGTCTGGGCCATGCCAAAAGGTCCTGGGTTCATGCCTAGGAAAAGCACTTCCTTAGGGCCCTGGCAGTAGCGGGTCACGTAGCTTCGATGTGGCTCCCACGCATAGTCCACAGGATTGTAGACAAGGCCCACAGGGTCTGAAAACTGCAGTTGACTCAGCTCCACATTGAGCCGAAGCTCCTCCTCCAGGAAGCCTTCAGCCAAATTTCGAGCACAGGGCTGGGCCTCCATCAGGGCACCTTCAGGGTCAAGAAGGGGGCCCACTGGAAAAGCTTGAGGCACAGCCATGCCCCTATCACCTGGAAAAGAGGAAGACAGAGGTCCATCAGCCCTCAGCCCATAGTGGGAGGGATTCATACTGGCTTGAGCCTCTACTAGCATTTCACGGGCTCAGAATAAAAACCCTACAAGACCATTTAAGTCATCCACCAACTGCCAAGTATTACTGAGCTCAAATTCAGTTCTTGGCGGTGAAACCCCCCCACCCCACTTCTAATATCCTTCCTCTTCACGTAGCACCTGATGAGAGAGAATAAGCCAAAACTAACTGGCCACTCCTTACTCCTTTCCGTCAGGCACAGGTCTCAGTCGTGAGTTCCCAGACCATACTGAGCACATAGTAAGTTTTCATGGTACATTTGCTGGTGGCATCCTCTCTGCACGTAATCCTTAATAAAACAAGCCCAACCAAGATGGGCTGTGTCCTGGAAACCACTGTGCTGATGAATGAGATGAAGGTGCACAGGCACAGCCCAGAGACCTGGGAGGGCTAATTACAATAGCTTCCAGGTGGTGAGCAATTGCTCTACACCAGGTACACCTCATTGATCTTATAACAACCCCATGAGGCGGGCATTACTGCTCCCATGTTAGAAGTGAGGAGACTGAGGCTTAGCAAGATCAACTTGGGCCGGGGATGTAGCTCAGTGGTTCCGCCACCTGCCTCGCCAAGTGCAAGGACCCGAGTTCCATCCCCAGTACCAAAATAAATAAAAGATCAAGCAACTTGCCCAGGGTCAGGCAGTTAGCAAGTAATGAAGTGGAATTTGAACCCACACTATCTTACTGAAGGCTATGTTCTTAACCACCCACATCATCTTGCCTTAGATGTTTTGCTCAACCACCCCACTAATTCAACAACCCCTAGCCCCAGCCCAACTTCTTTCCCACATTCAAGAATCCTCAGTGGTAAGCAGAATGACTACCTGATTCAGAATCGAACTCCTGCAAGCTATGCAATCATGGCCAAAGCCCCGGTTTCTTCACCCAAATACTAAGAATAATAATTCCCACTACATAGTATTGATATAAGGATAGAAATGAGATGTTATGCATAGAAGAGGGGAGGAAGGAAAGAAAAGAGGAGAGGACAGGAAGAGGAGGGAGACTGACAGCAAGCTTTGTAATACACTGCAAAGGCAACCCCTTCTCAGCCCTACCAAGGAAACCCAGAGTTCCAACCTGATACTTTCAAAATGCTCATCCCACCTCAACTCGTAAAACTTTGCACCTGTCTCTACAAATGCAAGCAAAAGTACTTCTTTTTTGGGGTTGGGTATGGGGATCGAACTCAGATCCTTGCATTTACAAGGCAGGCGCCAGAACCACTGAGCTAAATCCCCAGCCCAAAAGTACTTCTTGAGAAAGGGAGGATATCATATCACCCAGTAGACACCCAGTCAACCAGGACAGTGAATCCCCCACATCTCTACACATCCAAATCATACCCTTTCTTCAGGATGCAATTTAAACCACTCTTCTGTTAAAGCTTTCCCTGCTGAGAATGCTGAAGCATTTGCTATAAATTCCCAACCCCCACATGACTGGCAGGGAGGCCGGGATATCTGTATTTTAAACATGGTGATTATGGTGTCTAACAAATGCTGAGAGCCACTGCACATCACCATGGTTAGTGGCCTCATCATGAATTTACATCTTGCCTCTCCCAAATAGGGTAGATCAGGGGGCCAGTGCCATTTCATTTCTGTCTACAACTCCAAGGTTCTAGCTTTTACTAGGTATTCAATAAACACCAGCTCAATTCTAGCCATCCATACTTTAACAGTAAATCTTATCTACTTTCTACCAAGGAACCATTCTTTCTGTTTCAGTGCTGGGTAGCTTTGAGCATACTAGGCCAATGCTCTACCCTGAGATAAACTCCCAGCCCCAGGGAACTATTCCTGACAGACTCCTCTCCACTTCTACATCCTGAGTTCACTCAAGGATCAGCTGCTTGCTTTGCAGGACTTGCCAGACTCTACGTGAGTTTCCATCATATCTGGGCCTCATAGGGCAAGGACCATTGTTCTCAACCTCAGCCTAGGTTAAGAGTGACTGCTTGCCCCAAATGAGATTGCTGTGCCTAGATTGACACAACAGATACCAGGAGCACCTGCCTGTAAATCCAGTTTCTTAAAAGGCTGAGGCAATAAGATCACAAGTTCAAGACCAGCCTTAGCAAATGTGACTCAAAATTAAAAAAAAAAAAAAAAAAAAAAAAAAACCTAAAAAAA